AGGACATGAACAGACACTTCACCCAAGAGGAGATCCGGACAGCCAACAAATATATGAAGAAATGTTCATGATCACTAGCCATCAGAGAGATGCAAATCAAAACAACAATGAGCTATTATTTCACACCAGCAATAATAGCAAAGATTAAAAAAGTAGAGGACAATAAATGCTGGTGGGAATGTGGAGAGACTGGGATACTCCTGCATTGTTGGTGGGATTGCAGAATGGTCCAACCTCTCTAGAAGGCAATATGACACTTTCTTAGAAGGTTGGAGATAGAAATACGTTATGATCCAGCAATTCCTCTACTTGGTATTTACCCACAAGAAATACGAGCCATAACATGAGTAGAGATATACACACCAATGTCCATAGCAAAAAGATGGAGACAGTGTAAGTGCCCAACAACTGAAGAGTGGATAAACAAACTGGTACTTACACACAATGGAATATTATAAGGTAGACATTTTGTAGCAATAGGAGGGGGTGATTGACTTTGCAGTCTAGTACTGGAGGTCTCTGGGACCATCAAGGGAGAAGAGCGTAGAGCTGGACCCTACCCAGAGAAGCAGTGACTCCAGAGATGGAGGCAGAGCTGATGACATGGAGAGATGGAGTGGCTGGGGACTTTATACCCAGAGAGGGAGAGGAGCTGTGTGCTGATGACCAGGGGGCAGGCTTGCAGGGTGTACCCTTTGGTTGGTTGATGATGCATGGAGGGGATTATAACTACAGCAATGAAACGATATATGATAGGATGAATGTAAAGCTAATGTTCTCCCATGTAAACAATCACATAATTCACAATAAAACATAAAAAAAAAGCAAAAATAAATAATGTTTTACTCAAGATATTGTCTGTTTTCAATTATAATAAACCAATATTGTTTCCTTTTTAACAGTAATTTACATCCAGTGCTATTACCTTCAGATGTATTTGACCAACCACAACCTGTTGGTAATAAAAAAATTGAATTCCATATATCTACTGGCATGCCAGCAACATTTAAGAAAGATTTAGAGAATGAACAAAATTATGAGGAACAAAATTATGGTAAGGATATTTTCATTTTTTCATATATTATGTAAATACTTTTTTCAATTAGCTTTTCATTTTAGAATTAAATTATATCTATAATGCTTCTGAATTTTAGTGTATGTGATCTGTAGTTAAAATATAGACTAGATTCTTCCTCAGTATCTTTAAATAATACTTGTTATACCCACTTTACCATTTTTGTATGACTGAAATTGATGCTAAATAACAAGATTGTTATTCTTGATAATAATGAACTTTAGAGTGAAATTTACTTTGCTTTTTACAGATGTTTACACTAAAAAAAATATAATGTAAATTTTTTTTATATTGGATTTACTTATCCTTGCTTGTTTACATGATATCTTGTGGTTTTATTAGTATTAGGAATTCAATAATATGATTATCATGTGTGTTGTTGATTTCAGAATTTTTTATTTTTATTTTTCACACTGCACAGCCCTCCCCTCTCCCCCAATACCTTAGCTTTCCATGTGGATTATATGCATGTGTACATTATTTGTGTGGATGTGTCATTTGAAAAAAAATTGTTGCTATCCTTCCCAATCCTCTCCCACAAGCTATGTTATTTCTTGCTAAAGATAAAATGCATGGTATATTTAATATTGAAAATCTGCCCTTTTTAAAATACTTCTAAATCTAAGTTTTTAAGTGTTTAAATACCTGTGTTTCTTAATTTACTTGTAAAATCAAAATTGAATTGGCTTTTATTGTTTTGTTTTATTAATGTGAACTGGAATTGTCTTGATTTATGATAATTCCATCCCAATAATTTGCTCATCTTAATATTTTAATCATCTAGGAAGAGGCTGAAAATTATTTTCATATAGCATTATGAAGTTTTTATGGTTCCCATTGTATAAGTCATCTTGAATAACCATGTCTGATTAGAATGCTTTTGATGAATATTTTATTTAATTATAAATTTCTTTTCTCACAATTATTAATAATTCAAAATGGGTAAGCTAAATCAAATGCTGGTTATTATTCCCTAAACACATACGTGCAAATCTGCTCACAGAATATTTTCATCAGAACTCGCTAACTATATTGAAACCGATGTGATTTTTCGTTTCTCCACTGTGTAGCTTCTTGAATTGGCACCACAAAGTAACCATTAGCCTTTCTAGGTATTGTGTGTGGTGGCATTTATGCTACAGTGACAGAGTTGAGTAATCCTGACAAAAACCTTGTTGTCTGGAACACCTAAAATTTTTACTCTTTGAGCCTTTACAGAAAATGTTTGTTTATAACCTTTCTACAACATTGAAACATTGAGAAAAACACTGAAAAATTTTTGTGCCAAGATACCTTTTTTTTTTTTTTTTTAAACAAAAAAAGACTGTTTTGATTATGGGGATTTATAATGACACTAACCTTATTGTTGAATTCATAGATTTACCCGATACTGAAGTTGATGCATCTAATGTAGGATTTGGAAAAATCTTCCCTACACCTAATTTAAACATCTCAGAAGAGATTAAAGAGGACTCTGATGAAATGCCCTCAGAATTTATATCTAGAAAGGAATTGAAAAAGGGCAAAATTTCTAGAGAAGGTAATTTCATGAAATAATCCAGTACTTACTTCATTGCTTTTATTGATTTAAATCAAAACAAATCCTTTTATATTATTTAACTTAATTTAAGGCTCATATTGTACATCTTTCCAGTTTAATGTTATTCATAAAAGTTCTTCATAAAAGGAAGTTACCCCTCAGTATAATGTTTCACTCTATTTTCATGGAAAATTTTTTTCTTTTAATTCCTAAAACTTTTATATGTAACATTTTAAACAATTCCAAAGTCAGTTGATAAACCATCACTATATTGTGTCTGAACTGCATGCAAAATAATTATTTATTTAAATTTTAAATAATTATTTGATGATTAATAATCCGTGTTTACAGTCCAGGTATGTATGGCACTATAGGATAAGCCCTGGACTGCTAATCACAAGGTTGGAAGTTCAAACCCACCAGCCATCTCCTTGAAAAGCATATATAGGTTTACTATGAGTCAAAACTGACTTGATGGCCTTCACAATAGCAGTAATGCATCTATCTATTTGATATATTAATGCATTTTAAGAAAATAGATCTGATTTTAGACGGACATGTAACTAATGTGAAGTGGACTTCCAGGTATCATTTATGCAGGAAACATCTAGTTGTCAAAAAGATTAGTGACATAAAATGGAGGCATTTGTAGAGGGGAAGGGTTCACAGACCATAGTTTGATTGTGTTGCCTGAATATGGTTTTCTAGTACTTCATTCTTATATTTGAATGTGGAAGGTAACTGGTAGTTTGGAGAAACAATTATACAAATGCTTGGTAATAATATATTCCAGTCTCTTCAATTAAGTCTATCATTTGTCTGATCATGTAGTGGTTACGAGTCCCGCTGCTAACCTCAATGACAGTGGTTCGAAACTACTAGCTGTTCTGTGAAAGAAAGATGAGACTTTTTGCTCTTGTAAAGATTTATAGCCTTGGCAACCCTATAAAGGATTGCTTAGAACCAACTCCAGACAAATCACCACCACCACCACCAACATGTCCCTTAGCTTGTCTTGTGTGTTGCTTAGTTTGTCTTGTGTGTTGATGTTGGAAGTTATGCCATTAGAACTTTAGATACAAGCAGGGTACACCCATGGTGAACAGGTTTCATCGCATTTCTAGAGTAAGAGCAGGAAGGAGAAAGAGACTGCTATTGAATGCATAGCCATGGAAAATAGAAATAGCAGTAGAACACTTGTCAGATAGCATCAGAATAATAAATATTGAAACATGATGAATGGCACTAGAATATCCACAGGTATAAAGCTGGAAAACAAGCCCCTCAGGTTTAGAAGGCACTCAAAATACTACTGGGAAAAAGCTTCCTCCTCAAAGTAGAGTGACAAAAATGGAGCAAAGCTTTCCGGATCTTCATTTGCTGATCGGGGAAAAACCAAAATTAGGAGAACCAGCTGTAAACATCCCTTAATATCAGAATGTGGAATGTACGAAGTATGAAATTGGAAGTAAAATTGTCAAAAATTAGTGAGCTGAAATGGGCTGGTTTTGGCCATTTTGAATCTGACAGTTATATGGTGTACTGCGCTAGAAATGATAAATTGAAGAGGAGTGATGTCTTTTTATTCATCATAAAAAGAACTTTTCAAGATTTATCTCAAAGTATAATGCTGCCTGTGTTAGGATAATATCCATACTTCTACAAGGAAGACCAGTTTAAACCACTGTTATTCAAATTTACACACCATCCATTAAAGCCAGTGATGATGAAATAGAAGAATCTTACTAACTTCTTCAGTCTCAGATTGCTCAAACACACAGTCAAGATGTATTGGTGATTATAGGTGATTGGAATGGAAAAAGTAGGAACAAAAGAGGGAAGGATAAGTAGTTGGAAAATACACCTTTGGTGATCAAAGTAGTACTGGGGATTGCATCACATAATTTTGGAAGACCAGTGACTTGTTCATTGCAAATACATGTTTATATAACAACAACAAAAATGACTAGACACATGTGTGTCACCATATGGAATACACAGAAATCAAATTGACTACATCTGGGAAGAGACATTGGAAAATCTCCATATCACTAACCAAAACCAAGCCAGAGTCAGACTGGTGAATAGATCACCAGTTGCTCAAATGGAAGTTCAGGTGGAAGCTGAAGAAAATTAAAAGTACATGAGAGCCAAAATTTCACCTTGAACATATCCTACTTGAATTTAGAAATCATCTCAAGACCAGATCTAATGCATTAGACACTAATGACCAAAGACCAGAAAAGTTGTGGGATAGCATCAAAAACATTATACAGGAAGAAAGAAAAAGGACAATAAGACAAGAAAGATGGAAAACGCTGAAATGGATGTCAGAAGAGTTCTGAAACATGCTCTACAGCATAGAGATGTTAAAGCAAATGAAAGGAATGAGGCAGTAAAAGAGCTGAACAGAAAATTTCAAAGGACAACGAGAAGACAAGTTAAGTATTACAATGAAATGTGCAAAAACTTGCATTTAGAAAACCAAAAGGAAAGAATACAATCAGCATTTCTCAAGCTGAGGAAACTGAAGAAAAAAATTCAAGCTTGGACCTGGGCTATATTGAAGGGTTTTATGGGCAAAATATTGAATGATATAGAAAGCATAAAAACAAAACAAAACAAAGAAACTGTAAAGAGTCACTGTATCAAAAAGAAATGGATAATGTTCTACCATCTCAAGAGGTAGTATATAATCAAGAGCCAGTCATACTGAAGGAAGAAGTCCAAGGTGCACTGAAGTAATTGGCAAAGAACAATGCTCCCAGAATTGATGGAATACAAATTAAAATCTTATAATAAACTTATGTGGCAATGGAGACACTCAGTTATCTATTCCAAGAAATTTGGAAGACAGCTACTTGACCAACTGTTTGGAAGAGAACCATATTTGTGCCCATTCCAAATAGCGGTGACCCAATGGAATATGGAAATCATCAGACAGCATCATTAATATCACATCCAAGTACATTTTTATTAAAGATAATTCAAAAACAGCTTTGACAGTACGTTGACTGGGAACTGCCAGAGGTTCAAGCCCGATTCAGACAAGTATGTGGATCAAGGGATTACATTGCTGACGTCAAATCGATCTGAAAGCAGAGAATGTCAGAAAGATATTTACCTGTGCTTTATTGAATATGCGAAGGCTTTCAACTGTTTGGGTCATGTTAAGCTATGAACAGCACTGTAGAGATTGAGTATTCTGGAACCCTTAATTGTGCTTGAGAAACCTGGACATAGACAAAGAGGTAGTCATTCAGGTAGAACGAGGGAATGCTGAATGGTTTAAAATTAG